TCCAGTCTTGGAGGTGTGCTTATTCTTGTTAACACAACAGTTATTCAGGTTGGCACCAAGGGCCACATGTTACTGAAAATGTTGAGTGGTTACTGTACACATTTTTAATTCATGTTAAACACCTTAAGTACCCTGGTGGCACATAAAATTGAAGAACCTGCGTTATTAACTAGCATTCTGCCTGTAACACCAAGCACCCTTATCAATAAACATGTTGACTAAGCTTTATCCTCCTTTAACTGCTTCACTACCTGTCTCAGGACATGCACTACCCAAAAAGTTTAGTCAATTAAAGGCAGAGGGTTTCTGAGGTTCCAGGGCAGAGGAGCTGCCCACCTTAACCTGTGCCAGGATAGGATGGGAGAGTAGATGCCCAACTCTAGCCTGAAACAACAGCCCCTGACACTTTCGTTTTGCAGCTTGGCCTTGGGGCTGACCCATCTCAAAAGGGTACTCACACCCCTCTCAGTGCTGGAAGACTGGAGGAATGATCTGGCTGCTGCCCATGGAGAATGGACATCCGGCTCAATGAACTGAGCGTGCTCTACGTTTAATCACACTGAAGCATTTAGAGCATTACACGACATCCCAATGCTGACTGAAGGGCCAAATGAGCACAATGACGCTTAGTGATTCTGTGCCGCTTTTCAAAAGAGGGCCTTTCTCGAACCCGGCTACACCAGAAGAGGCTTGCTTGACTCTCTGAGAAGGTTCATTAACCAGCCAGCAAAGGCATTAGTCTTTTGCCAGGAAACATACAAAAGGCAGCAGAAAGCTGTCTCATTCACCAGTTTCGGGACGGAATGTCCTTAGAAAAGCAGGCCTTGAAATGCCTTGGAAATCATTCATTGAATCGAGTGCATTTCTCATTACAGTGCATCTTTCTTGCTTGTACAAAATGGTCCTGGAGTACCGGACTGGTGACCTGGGTGGCTCTGAGATAAGCTATCTTTAAGGTGATAAACTGACCAGAACGATCATGGTGATCAGAACGATCAGACTGATCCTCAGAGCCTTCAGCAAAAAGGCCAACAGGAAGTCAAATGGGTCAAAATTATTCTGTGCATTCCCTTTGAGTCAGGCTGATGTGTGCAATGGAGGCACTTTCCTTAACTCTCCCCCCCCCCCCCCCACCACCATTTTCTATGCACCCTGGAACTTTAGCCGTGCAGATGAATCATCTGGTAGTGACCCCATTCATCACACTACTATCCCTGAGAAAGTCAGTGGTGGAGTGGGATTGGGTAGTATTCGGACATTAAATGCTGTGATAATATAACAAGGCTGGAGCTACAGAGACATGGACACTCCCGCAGATTAAAATGACTTCCGACTCAAAAGGCAGTGGTGGTTTGTCTGCCCTTAAAATCCCTGGAGGCTTTGGGGAATTTTATGAGTGCTCATATTTCCATGAAATTTTTTCTGAGCTACTATCCTGAGTTTCCAGCTCTGAAATGAAACTTGGCTATCTGCAAGACAGGCCATCTAGTCATGACACACCCCCTTATTTTGATACCGAAAGTTACACAGACTGATAGTGCATTTCAATGTAGGCAACCATCTGACCTGTAGGAAGCATTGGAGAAGACCTGAATCTGATGGCAGAACGATGACATTTAAGAAAAGGTCCCAAAGTGGAACAACTATATTTCACCACATATATATATCTATACTTAAAACAAGGAACATTTTAAAAAAGCAATTATTCCTGTTTGTAAAATGTCATTCCTAGAGCTCAGCATCTACACTCTACTTATGGTTATGACCACAGTGTTCAGAGGACAGGGTACTGTGATGGCTTACCCAAATATGCTGGGGTCAGAAGTTCACATCACACCACCATTCAGTTTATCATTCTTTCTGCACCATTATTTAAAGGGCTGATGAGATCAATGATTGGTTAATGATCATGTCATCATGGAAGGCTTATATTGGCTATGTTTGTTTTACTTGGCCCAAGGCCTTAGAGAGAAGCTGCATTGGTTGAAACCTTTCGCTCTTTAGGTCATGCAGATCATGGTCATTCTCCATGTGGTAAAAGCTACCTCTTCATTCCAGAGATGCAGCATCGTAAAAAAGCAGCATCGTAAAAAAAAACAGAAGGACCTTACCCCCCTCCTCCTTTTTGGTCATTTTCTGCAAAGAGATCTACAGCACGTCTGGACAAAGAAGAGGAAGAAAAACAAAGTCAAATGGAAGGAGACGCAGCTCCGACACGGCTTTAGTTTTACCTGATCTGCTTGGGTTTTTTTTTCCTGTGCGAAGACCATTTACACAAATTTAAAGTGAATGTAAAAGAGGCAGTGATTACTTAAATGAGCTATGGGTCTCCTCAGTTACCATCCTAATTCCAGCCTGGCCAAACCAAAAATCAGCCAACCACTTTGCACAGGGGCAGCATGAGTATCCCATGTATGTGGAGGAACCCCCCTCTTGCAGAAAAATCCTCAGCAAAAGCATCACTCTTATCACAGACAAACAGGACCGTGGCATTTGCACAAGGGACTTTAATGAAAAAATGCACCCTGTCCTTACAGACTGGTTATATAGTGAACAAACTGTATGCATTCTAATAGCCTGTAATGTATTGCTTTTGAGGACGCACACCCCCACTCCAAACAAGCTCGTCTTAACCTTTGCGCCTACTGACTGAAGCATAAAAGACATCTCAGAAGTGAAAGAGATTTTAAAATATGAAATAGTTTCCCTAAATATGTGGGACAGCATCACAAATATATACATGCAGATCTAATCTTTTTCAATGCATTTATAATCATGCAGAGGGTGAGTTTCCCGAAGCCTTCTTAACGCTACGTCGTTCGTTAGTTCTATCTTTTAAAACAGAACTTAAGAACGACGTAGCGTTAAGAACGCTTCGGGAAACTCAGCCCAGATTTATTAATCATTGCTCCTCTTTTGCTTGTTTTGATAGTTTTGACAGTATTAAATAAAGTAGTTTATACAGAAATCATTTTCACTTCATTTTTACTAAAGCGCCGAAATGGAACCACCCACTAGAACATGATTTTAAATCACAGCTACACTTCCTGGAGAAGAGGAGTGCATAGACCACTTGAAGGAGGGGGGGGGGGTACACAGGTGTGTTCTGGGAAGGTGCTGTTTGGGTTTTGAGGCATTTTGGTAAGATATTCAGCTGGGTCATATCACTGGGCATCTACCTGCCACCATCCTGTCTGAAACTGGTCTAAATTTGCATACCTATACTGCCCATCAAAGTGGTGAAGAATTTAGACTAGTTTTGTCTGGTTTAACCAGACCAAAGGGCTGTTGTCATGGCGGTCTGTCCACTTTCATCTACATGTGTAGTAGGTGCTGTCTTCCTGAACATCTGGGAACAGACACATTAATGCCTGCATCTTTCTGCCTCTCTGTCTTCCTGTTCCTGCTCACTTTATCTCCACCATTCCCAATCTAATTCCTGTTTCCCCCATCAATGTTTCCTGTGTCTTTACCTGTAATTTGCCATTATTTGAGAAACAGTAAGCATTCTTCCATCTTTGATAACCACGTATCTAGTACTGGGTATAAAGAGTAACTACACAGCAAGTATTTATCAGTACTCATCCAAAGAAGTGCTGCATGAAGCGGTTTTCTGTTTGTGACAAAACATCCCTGGAGTATAACACAATTTTTTTTACTTTTTCTTTTTTTCATTTAACCTCAGGATGGCTTCTGACCGTATCTTAAAGCAAAAAAAAAAAACCTGTCCTGATTTTCTACAACCTCTCCTGCCAGACCTCACATCCAGTCGTGAGACTTGATTATGACCACTGCATGTCTCAACACAAGCATGTGCCCCAAGGCGCATCCTTAACCCCTGACCCCCGCCTGCATCCTGCTCCCCCCTCCTAATTACAGCCCTCAGCCATCTCCTTGTATATTTTAGAGTGGTTTGTGCGGTCCTGAAAGTGTGCTGCTTGAGACTGTAATGTTTAAAAACGAGGCGCCAATTTCATCTGTGGTTCAGGGCAGGGACAGCATCTGCACGCAATGCCTGTTCCCGACTGCTCCATCGCCAAACAGGATGCCAGAAAATAGTGGGCATTTTCTGGAGGAAAGAATCTTGTTACTTTTCATGTAGAAAACTGTATAACAACACTAGGACCAGAGGAGGGCACTTCTTATGAAATATCATAGAGATCTCCAAGACCACCTTATCTGCAGTTGGGCTATCAAGCTCCTAACATTAAATGAAATTAGATTAGATTATGGACCCTGCAGATTGATGGTGTCCAGAAGCTACAAAACAACATGACAGATTGCACTATAATTCCAGACATAGAGGTAGGAGTCAACACATACCAACAATGGAAACATTCAGAAAAGTACCCTTATAAGAACTATACAAACGAGAGGAGGCCATTCAGCCCATCGAGTAAATATCTTTTTTGTTTACAGGCAATGGGAAGACCATATCTGCTTCCATATTCCCATGTACTGCTGGGAATGAACAAGACGCAGGTAAGAAGACAGGAAACTGGAACTCCAATAATCGAAGACTAATATTTTAAAACAGATTAAGTTTCCTTATATTGGGGCAGGTGATCAAATATGCATGCTGCAGTGTCCTAAAGCAACCAGAGTCCTAAACTTGGATATTTATTGTATTCTAGGTGTCTTGCACAGACAATTCGAACATGTACACAGCTGTCTGGATTTATAAGTATGTGCTAGAAAGAAGAACATTATTGTTATTCTTTGGTGCTTTGTGTGTTTACTGACTGATGTACACATAATACCCCTGAAATTCAAAAGCATGGCATGTGTCTGTATGTATGGTTGTGATATTTTTCTCTTCATGTTTGGAAGATAAAAATGCATTCCGAAGCTACCACCACCACCACCACCTCCCCCTCCCCAACTGCTGTTGGGGTTTTCAGCTAAAGCATGGCCAAAAGTAGAAATGTTGACTTAGAGAGGCTTCAGAAATCTGGCCATTTTCCTAAGCTGTATGCGAGAGAGACCACAACTTGTGTTACCCGGTTATCCTCCTGAATCTCCCAATCAGGAGTGAAGGTCTGTAGCGGCTGTCCATGGGAGCAGTTGGAGAACTGAAAGAGGCTGGAGAATATCCTTCGGTTCTCCTGGGTGTCTGGGAAAATGGCGTCCTGGAAGTTAACTCCGTGGGGCAGTATATTGTAGTTTTCATCCATCCTATGACAAACAGAAAACAAGACAAGCTAAGATAGAGGCTAAGATGATTCTCTTGTCAGTATCACACCACCTCTTAACAGATTCCTTACCCTCAAACCAGGATTCTCATGCTATTTCTGCTCGCCTTATGTTAGACAAGATTCGTCTGACTCCCCAAGAAAATTCCAATTCCTGTTTACAGTAATTCAGAAAAGCCATTTGATCTGCAAAAGCATTGTTTTCATCAAAAGGGTGGTGTAGACTCACTGTACCTATTAAAAGCCTATTCCACAACAGAATATTTTTTTTTATTGAATTTTAGGCTCATTCAGTCACAGCATCAAAGGCTCTGTCTAGAGGGTTCCAAACGTCTGCAGCTGAACACAAGCATGATGCCGAGAAACAGGCAAAGATGAAAGTGGACAATCACTGTCAGTTTTGATTAATGCTTTTTTAAGGGGACGTACAATAATGAGAAGCACTGTAATTAACGCTGACCCTCTGCCTGGGTCTCACCCTTCCCATCTGTGCGATGCTATCAAATTGAACTGAACCGAGACCCAGCAGACGTGACGGTGACACACCATACCCGTGGGACCAGTGGCAGTGCACTAGATACCCTGAGGCAGATTCCATGTGTAAAACACAAGACACCTCAAAAATCCAGCTCTGCTTAATCAAAATAGAACAATAGAGAGGCCCAGTGACCTCCTTCAACTGAAAATAGTTTATCGGACACAATGGTCCGTACAGTTTAACTCTGATAGGCAATCATGGTTGGCTCCTCAGCTAGGTGAGGAATTTTCCCCAGGCCCCAGATCAGCCCTTTCCTGTGAACAACCCCAGGTGGCAAGGTCATCTGCACAGAAATACTTCCTGGGGGTACTTCCCATCTGCCAAAACAGGTAGGTGTCTGTCAAAGCACTTTGTTTGGTTTAGAGTTAGATGAGGAAATACGTCTGGTCTTTTCATACTGATTATTCTATAGGGTGTGATCTTTAACTTGTCTGCAAGGGGTAGAGACTGTTTAACTAATTAAAAAGAGAGTTTGATCAGTCAGTTGTAAGCTATTGGAAGTAGATGGAGTGGGGGGGGGGTTGAAAAACAAAAGGAAAGGTAATTTCTTGATGACTCTAACAAGCAAATAAGCACAATAGTCTCATTCTTCATTGGGGGGGGGGGGGCCACAGAGCTGTAGTGTTTCTGGGAGTCTGTAAGGGATGGATTTTTTATATTGCCCCTTGTGCTCATATGTGCAAATGTAACCAGATGGTACAATTTGGTTTTAGTCAAGGCTGCTTGGTGAGAACAGTCAAAGGAGGAACTTAACCATGTGTGCAACTGCTATATTTTGTTTTGAACTTTAGGATAATTCATGATTGTACCTGCCTACTCCTATTAATAATTGAGAGAGTAGCCAATGAATTGATGTTATAATATAACAAGAATACAATTTATTATTTAAAGTTATTTCAGAAAAAAAAAGAACACCCCCGCCAAAACTACCAACAATAATGAACAATACGCAAATTATTGAGGATGAATATAGTTCCTACCTCAGGAAGAAAATATAGGAATAGTTTTGGACCACCGTGTGCGACTGGCAGGAGAAATATCCCAGGCCGGTGATGTTGAGACGCGAGCCGGCGGGGACCTCCAGCATGCTGCCCCACGCCTGGTCACAGAGCAGCTCAATCTCCGCCGAATAGAAGAGTCCGTCGTCGGTTCCGTCATACTGGTAGGGCAGGTGGTTGTAGGCGTTGGCCCCGTATACCTCTTGATGGATGGCCAGCACCCTGGCGTAGACGATGATCTCTGCTAGCTCGGCGCGGCAGCTTTCGCTAAGCGGTCTCCATTCCGTGGGTAGCTGACATCCAAACCCAGGATTTACTTGAAATATTACACAGCCCAGGGTTAGCAAGAGTGCCGGCAGCATCTTGTCCTCCTTAACCCCGCCGGGTTTGCTAAGAAAACTGTCAGATGAGACACATTTTGTGAATTTAAATATCCCAGCTTGTGGTTGAAAAGTGTTGCAATGATATACAACACACTGTATACAATAAAATAAAAATGAATACCTTGCTCTTATAATTACTCATAATACATGACGCCGCCTACTTTTATTCTTTTAATTATCAGTACTTGCCAATCGGTTTACTGTATCATTTTATAACCAGCAGATATTTGAATTAATCGAAGTAATTACTGTCCGGGACTGAGTACTCACGCGTCTTATTTGTCTTTTTCTGTAATGAACCTTTCATTGATTACACGGATGCAAAGCGTGAAAAAGTAATCCATTACCAGAGCTGATCACCAGGTAATAAGAGTTTCTCTCATCAGCTTTGACGCAGTATTGGAACCTGAAGCGGTTCGTGGGATTCCGTTCCCAGTTGAGACATTCCTAAAGTTTACTGAGTAATCTGGGGGTGCATGACGGCAACCAATCAGATGACCTCAAGGTCGGGCTGTCCCATAAGGGGTAATACTCCATTACACCCTGCCACCCCACCCCGACTGTTTTGCATTTGGCGTGAGGCTGTGCAGATAACATGCACATTTCTATATTTTTAACGCATTAATATATTTAGTTTTTATTACATGCAGACTACCACTTTGTCCAAACGCCGAAGTGTTCTAGCTGTCTTATTACCCTTACATGATTATTGCGAGAAACATTTTGATAATTTAGAAAGCCTCAGAATTTTTTTAAATATTGATAGTGTGGAAGTGGAGAGCAATATGGAGCATATAATTTCGTTCAGCGCAAGATGAGTCACAGAGATTTATCGTGGAAATGGAATCCCATTTTCCAATTTGCGGATGTTATCAAGAAAGATCGTGGCTATTGGAGGCAGTAGCCTATATCTTACGTTGTTTTAAGTGCTTAAAAGGCGTATCAGTCCTTATTCAAGAAAATGCTTTGATGACACGCACAATGAATTGCGTACGGTGTTTTCTTCCTAATTTGTTCCTTAATTCATATTCTTACCTACAGGGTAGCACTGCCACCTATTGGTGCTTGATAGTAACTGCAAGGGAGAAATTTTGCGATCGTAATCATCACATTAATAATTTTTCCGGGTACTTTGTCTTGTTTATTCATTCATCGTTTGTTAAGTGAAACTTATTTGATGATTACTATCTTGATTCGCGTATTCTACAGCATCTTCCAGCTGCTTGTCCAGCTGCTTATCCTGATCAGGGTTTCGGTGGGGGCGGTCGGGCTGGTCAATCCTATAGGCGACATAGGCGCCGACTAGCCACGCAACGCGCACTTTCCGAGACAACGTGAAAGTGGCTGACTCGCGACCATGGAAGTACCTCTGTAGTGCGGGGGCGTGGTGAAACTCGCCAAGGCACTGGAGTCAATCCCAGGTAGCATACGGTAGGGGAGACCGGGGGGTATTCCATGAAAGTAGCTAAAAAAGGCAGACTTTCCCGAAAAAGTCAGACTCAACCTACCTCGATCTCTAAACTTAGCCTCACGTCGTTCCACGAACGCAGTTCAGTTTTTATATATATATATATATATAAACTGTCAATGGCAATGTGAGAAAATGATGCACCCATCTCCTTGCTGTTACTGCAGCTGGGCGGGGCTGCTGCGCGCGGACAGGCCACCTGTGAGTGCTTTTGGACGGAGAGGAGCCCACGGCAGCACCCGCTGCCCGGTGAGAAGAGTAAGGACCAGTGCTTGAAGTGGGAAAAAATAAGTGCAGAAACTCTAATTTTCCGACATTTGACATTTGTGCGGTGAAAAAAAAAATCAAGTCTTTAGGATGTGTTGGTTCAAAAACTATTTTAATCGGTCTTTGACAGTTGACGTCACACTCGCTATAGTCGCAGTGTATTGTGGGTCTAATCGCCATTTTGAAGGTATATAACTCAAGAGCAAGCTTTTGCGTCCGCCATTCTCCTTTGTAAGATGGGATACTCGTGTTGTGTGAAAGGCTGTCATACTAAATCACATGGCAGAAAGGTGGACCACAAGATAAGATAATCATTCTTCCAAGCAATAATCTATAGGCATAGGTTACTTTTTTCTAATTCACAAATGGAATACTGAAAAACCATTAAAACAACATGAACCAGACCAGTGTGATACTTGTAGGCCTAATAGATTGATTGATTGATAATAGACTAGGGCTAAAGCTGATGCGATTGGTTGGGACTCAGTGGATGCATATGATAGGGCACTGTCGTGGCTCGTGGGTAATGTAGTCTTTTATCGGTCTTGTGCTATTGTCTATTCTCGTGCCACTGTCGCTGCGTCGGATCAGTTTCAGTAAGTACCGGAACGCAGAAAAAAGTGGCGGAACCCAAAAGACGAAAATACAGAAGTTCCGAAACTGCGTTCCGGCCCACTTCAAGCACTGGTAAGGACGATACGTGCTTTGACGTCAGAGTCTCCAAAAGTCTCCAGTTACACTAGAAAAAGTCGCTAGATTTGTCGCTAGTCGCTTTTTTGAAAATGAGTCGCAAGAGGGGTCTAAAAACTCGCTAAATATAGCGACAAAGTCGCTAAGTTGGCAACACTGACTTGCATAGTCTCACTGTGCGCACACCCGCGATATTTAAGAAGCCCAAATAAATAGATGAACGATAGATCGACCAAATGAGTCGGAAAGCCTGTAAAACGAGAGCGGTGTTTCTTTACGTCGCAGAATAAACGCTGCTGATGGAGCTGTATGAAATATACAAAGATGTAATCGTTAAAAAAGGCAATACTGTGGCCATAAACACAACCAGGGAGTTGGCTTGGCAATGAATTGCAGACAGAATAAATGCATAAGTTACGTAAATGTTACAAGTGGTTAGTTCTGCACAAATAACCGAAGGCCTATACTGTATGTTGTCTTTGCTATTTTAGTAGTAAACTTTCAAAGTATACAGTGACTAAAAATATAAAGATATTTTACTGTTCATATTATTTTAACGGATTTTTTTTCCAATTACAGTCATTGCATTTCATGTTTCACCTTTGTAATATGCGTAAGCTTTTATTTTACAGTAAAATACCGTTATAACGGACTTCAAGGGACCTGGCAAAACAGTCTGTTACATTCAGAGTTGCTGTATGCCCAGAACACAACTACAGGACACCATTTACTCATGCCACACCTCAGCAGACACACTTGTGGTATAGATTATTATATTGTACATATAGTAATCCAACTTTACCTGACCAGTCCGGCATGCCACACGCCTTGTAGGCGGAACTGCATGTCCGTTATAGCCGAACAGAACTACAGCTAAAAGCGGCCCTGGGGACCAAATTGTTTGTCCATTATAAGCGAAAATTCGTTATATGCGAGTCCGCTATATCCGATGCTTTTTCTACATGTTCATAAAGGCTCACGGCCGGGACTAGCGGACATCGTCCGTTATAGATGATATTCCGTTATAAGCGAGTCCACTATAACTGGATTTTACTGTAATTATTTTGGAATTAATTGGAATGCTAAGACGTGATTTTATAGACTTTATTATATTGATTATGTAGCAATCTCAGCTCTGTTCTCCATATTATGGAAGTATCACACAGAGCTTTACTTCAGAAAATATGTTTTTTTTTATTCTCTGCATTCTCATCTTGCTTTTACTCACAGTACTGACTGCAGGGTTCCATTTTTTATGTATACGTAGCCTATAGCCTATACAAGACTCATTCTCCCGCTAACTCAAACAAAATCATGAAATTTTGGTACAGCTTACAGATTAACAAAAAATTCAATCAGATAATGTAAAATATAATGTCTGATGAGGACATATAATTCAACAGATTACATGACATGAATAATAATATCGCGGAATTTCGTCCGACGGAACGATCTTTTGGGAATCTGTTCCCACATGTCGGATGTTCTTTGAGACAACGCTAAACTAAGCGAGACAGTTAGCCTGGTCCGGACCAGGCTTGTTCGCAGGTCTAAATTACCATGGTAATTCAGCGGGGATTCATTTAAGACACGTTGATGGAACGAAACTCTCACTTAAGGCTCATTGAGTTCCACGAACAAAATTCAGGTGTATTTAATCTCCGCTAATTCAAGCCAAGCTTGACAAGAGAGGCTCGTGCGCGTCCACGCGATATAAAATGCAGCCTTGTTAATCGATGGAATGGAAGGAAAGGAAAGCTGCGTTTTCCACCCAAGTGGAGCAAGAATTATTAATGCAAGCCTATGAGGACTAAAAAGATATAATAACCAGAAAGGGGACCACGAGCTGCATCATCAAGTCTCGTGAGGCTGCATGGCAGAAAATAGCTGACAGGTTAAATGCGTAAGAACATGATTTAAGTAACCTTTGTGTTAAGGATGTAAAAATATTTTACAACTAAATGAGAACAGTTTCAAGCCTTCAAAATGTATAGTCACAATAATATTTCCTTTTACATATGTATTTTGTTACCAGTTGTAAGGCTATTTTAACACAATTATAAACAGGACAGCGTGTTAATTATATGGGTCTATCTTAGACAAAAAGTCTAAGATGAATGGGGGGCCCACCTCCAGCAGCCTGTTCCCCAGCTGAGGTGATAGGCCGTGTACGGTTCTGTGCAAGGGCCATTATTGAGGGGATTGAGGGAGGAACATCCTCAGACGTTGTTCCTTCCAGTCATGTGCAATCTTATGTTAAAGGTACCGTATTTTTCGGACCAAAGACGCACCTAGTTTTAGAGGAGGGAAATGAAGAAAAAAAAGATTCTGAACCAAATAGTGTCCTAAAATATTTTATGTCAACCATCCTTACCTGGCCACATCCCTCCCCCTCCCCCCTTTTATGGCGCTGATGGGGATGTATCTGGATCGTGTTTCACCGCTGCGTTGTTCAGCAAATTACCATGCGAATGCGATTTGAATACGGCTATTTAGAATGTGAATAGCGATCTTCGGGTGACAGCAGTACTATACGCCCCCGAAGCAGATAAAATAAAGTAAGGTGACATGTTTTTTTTTTTTTTTTTTTTTTAAACCTAATTTTCAAAAGAAGACAGATTACGGATTTAGCCAGCGTTTTTTATGATTCTACATTAAGATTTCAGCGAGATATAAACTGAAATAGACGCGAAATGTACGCTGCGTCGCCGACAATACACTAGGCCCCAGAAGGTTAAAGCATGTTAGCAGAGCAATATTCGGACCATAAGATGTAGTGATTTTTTCTCCCCACTTTTCGGGTAGAAAAAGTGCGTTTTATAGTGCGAAAAATACGGTATGTCTTTACTCTGTTTCCCCTCTCTTCCTTGCTTTCTGTTAAATGTCTTAAATATTCTAATGCATTACAGTAGTGGATGGTGTCTTGACCCTCTTGGATCCTGAACCACAGTCATTAAAATCTCTTGTGAGTATTGTATTTAAGAA